AAGTAGTTCGAATGAAAGGGGCTAAGTCTTCACTAAATTCGGTGAAGCTGAGAATAGCGTCAATGTATTTTGCAAAATTATTAATTGAACGCTTTCGAGGAGTGAGAGTCGTCAAACGGGCTCCCTCGAGTTCACATATACCGGAGTGAAGGATGAAGTTAGAGAAAGCTTCTTCTCGAAAATTGCGTTGAGCCGTAATTGAAGTAACCATAGTGGTCCAGAGAGATTCCGAGGACCAGACTCACGAAAAAGGCTTTCCGAGGCTTCATCGAGACAAGTGTATAGGGAGGCCAACAAAAGTTTACTTAAGCAAATTTTCTTTTTCAAATGAAGAGCTTGAGCCAGTATGTAATAGTATTTAGGAACCTGGAGTGAGGGGGTGCAGAAAACACAGGTAGATAGCCAATACATTAAGAAAGTAATATGCTCCGAGGTCGAAACAGGAGTATCGAATTTTTCCCATGTGAGCATTAATGAAGGCTAAGTAAGTTTTCTTATCCCAAGATATTGAGGTCTCCTTGATCGAAATCTTCTCTTCAAACACATCAGGATAGAACCTATCCCCAATAGGTGCTAAACCCGTGATAGCAGCGATATCGAGCAAGGTAGGACACACGAACCCACAAGGAAACTCGAAGGCTCGAGTTTCTCTATTCCAAAAGAATATAGCGGAAAGAAGCATTTGAGGATCGAACAAATGTAAATCAAACTTAGCTAATTGGATAAATTCAGAGATACCAATTTCTTCCCACAGGGAATGCATCGAACTCTCCACACGTGTTAACCAGGATGAATGTCTATCTTTGATAGGTGGGAATGCCCTAAAAATCTTAGTGGAATCTCCAAAAAGGGCTAAGTCTATTTCTGTAGAATGAATGAAAGGAAGTGTGGAGGAATCCTTAGGTAGCAAAGAATTCCCAAATTTTTTCTTATTTTGACCAACGAAAGGACCTAAGAAAGCACGAACAGAACCATCCTCTAAAGATAAGGGAAGAAGTACCTGGGATTGGAAAATTTTGAGACTTGCCTCTTCCATGCCCGAAATGGGGACGAAGGTCTCATCTCCGTCTTTGACAGTGCAAACTTTGGCATTGGCCATCAATAAAGGAGCAGTCTGAGTGGAGGATGCAGTGGCCATTGTAGGAGACGACGCAGAGGCCATTGTAGGAGATGATGCAGAGGCCATGGTGGGGAAACCACCGAGGCTACGGTGGCAGAGGTAGACGTAGCAGAAGAGGCCATGGCGGTAGTGAAGAGCAAACAAGGCTCGTGAGAATGGTGAGCAAGAAACCAGATAGCGTAGAGAGAAGACAAGGGAAACTTGTGCGCGAAGGAAGAGAATGGTGAAAGTGATTTTCACCTTAGGGTAAAAAGAGTTTTAAGGGGATGAATGGGCCTAAGGTAAAACGAGTCCATAAATTTAATTCAAATTTTAAATCAAAATTTGAAACAGCCACCAAGACGTTAGTGCACAGGCAGAGTTATGGAAAAACGTAAGCATGCACCGTCAGAGTAATCAATGTCAAATCAAACGGTCAGTGCATTAAGTTGATGGTCAGAAATAGGTTTTCATCGAAGGAATCACCAATTAACGTCAAGTAAAACAATTCGAGACAATTCGAGAAAGCATCGAAGAAAAACCTTGATAGGAATTCAGTTCTTCTTCCACCCAGTATGTTCATCGAAACTGAATTCCTAGGCATTTGTTAGGGCTACTCGAAAATCATACAAGTCGAAATCTACATGTATGAAGATACTCGAAAGGAAGATAATAGTCAAACACCTACCAGGAACGTATTAGGAACCTTATTTGTTCGTGCTCGAGATCAAAAAGAAATTGGTCGAGTAGAACAACGATGTGCTCGAAAAGAGTAGAGAGGTTACTGGAGGTTTCTTGTGCAGTTGCACCAAGGTGGTTATTAAAGAGCGGATCGAGGAAGTAAAGCACGTGGGGAGAACGGTTGGAGGGAGTTACATTTTAAGCCCACATAAGTGATGTAGTGGACAGCAGTTATACACACCCACGATGGATTCTCGCGAAATTAACTACTCTTGATTGAACTCTATAAATACGAGAAACATACACCTTCACAAGGGTCGGAAAACTCATACTTGAACTCTCAAGCACTCACTGCCTGCGCATATGGCTTTCGTGCAAGGAATTGCTTCTAGGTATGACCATTTCTCGGCCATATTTCTTTTCTCTTTTTAGGATTAGGATTAGTTTAGTTGTCTTTTCTTCTTTTAATCACGTAGTTATATAACTTTATAATTGTAACTCTTTAAGGTGATGTGAAAGTGAACCATGATTTGTATTGCAAATATATGTATCGTTCATTCAGTTTATTTGGGGATTTATATGCATGAAAATTATTGCTTGTTAATCATTGACGAATATTTAGAAACAAGTAATTATTAAATCTTCTGCTCAATCTCTTGTTCTTCAAATATCTAAAAATGGCAAATACCTAACTTGAAACATCATTCGTGCTAGTTCGAATAAAAATAATCCATAAACTAATTCCACCGTAAACAACTGTACATATATGAAGTTCTATTTTATAACTAGAAACTTAGTTATTTTTATTTTTATTTGTACATGTATGTATGAGTTATCCAGCTTAATATTTCTCTTAGTTTCACTAGCAGTAGTATGATTCCACTAAGTGTAGAGACCATGACGGGTCGTTACATAACTAAAGTTTTAGAACTATAAATGTCACTCTTCATAGAATATATATCATCTTCATTTTATTTTTCTCAAAATTTTTAAAAAAAAATCCATTTTCATTAATGAAAGCAAAATATAATGATCAAACTCTAAGTCTTGTATTGAAAATAAGTATATATATATATATTATTTTTATGAGGTTAGTACAATAAAATATAAGCATATAAAATATAACAATAATATTGTAAGAATTGCTACAAAATAAATAATGTTAAAATGTTTATGTAATGAAACAAATATTAATACAAATAAAATGTAGGATACCGATCTGATGGTATAATTTAAAAAGTAAATGTGTTTTTTTTACTAAAGACAACCATATTTATGTTTATTTGTTGTTAGATATTTTATATATATATATATATATAAATAGTA